TTTTTAATATTTAAACGTTTAATTTTTGAAACGTAAAATGTTGTAAAGTCTAGAACAGAATTTTTTTTTAAGTGTAGAGGTTTTTTCTATGTAGAAGTTATGTAAAATGATTTTTATGCTTCTACTGTACTCTTTGTTAAAGGTGCTTTGGTATATTCAGGTGAGCCGGATTAATTTTAGAACTATGATATTACATAACAATGCTAACCTTCTACTGGCTGAACTTATGCTAAGGAATAACTAGATTGGACAGAAGGTGTAATGTACAATGAACACAATATTTATTCAGACTAAGACAAAAACACAGATATAGATTGCAAGAACACTAAAGTTACATAAGAAATAATAAAATATAAATGTCAGCTATAGCCGAACATGTAGAAACTACCCAACATACAATATTGTTACGACAGCGGAAGTCACGTGACGCTAGTAACACGTCATGAACTTCTAGAAGGATCATGTTCCTTCCTGAAATCTCTAGAGCCTACTAGATATGCGGTAGTCTTGTATATATAAACCGGTAAGAACTGACGGCAACGAGGTAATGGGTAATTGACAGTTCAGTCGAGCACGTGAGACGTTCGTTGTGAATTATAGCGTTTGTTATAGCGCGACTGTGGAAATTAAGTGTATCGCAAAGTTGTATTCAGAAAGAATAAACTAATTTTATTTAAGAAAGGACTTGTATCGTTAAAGCTTCATTGGAAAGAAATTTTACGGAAAATTAACTAACGAACGGAGGCGTAACAATATTATTGGAAAAAACTTTAGTTTTAGCTCAGCCTCGAAGTTTTATATAATTAAATATTAGAGAAACATTAGAAATAATGAAATATAAAAAACAAAAACAAGTATTAAATAGAGATGAAGGACCAGCAATTCAATACATTGATATATGGCGAGATACATTATAATTTATTTTTATTTTTTCATTTACACTAAGGAAATATGCAAATAACAATGAAGTAATGCGACAAGGGGGAAAGTATAAAATAGTCTTGTAAGTTACTCCTGAGGATGACGTAAATCACGTCGAAACATGTATATGTAGAGCGATATTTTAAAGTGGAAGCCGTGATGCTTCAATAAAGTTTTTATTGTGTAAATACAAAACGTTGTTTTTCATTATTTATTATAATTGAAAAAAAACACAGTATGTGTGCTTGCTTTACATTAATAGCCACGTTTTTCGTGACGTTTCTAATTCAATTTAATTCATCAGATTCACTAAAGCAAACCTTTTAGCTTCAAAGAAACCTCGCAAAGAAAACATGTTATTGGTCATTTTCTACCGTAAGTTCTATATATATTACTTATAAGTGCAATTGTGATAAAAGAGTCAGCACAAATGATCACATAGTGTAATGGACTTAAAATAAGACCCAAAACTTGAGCGCTTTCGAATAGTTGACTATTCTTCTTTTGTTCTCCTGAAGAAGAATAGTCAACTTATAAGTGTAAACAATTGTAAATAAAAAAGTTAGGAAGTAGGAATGGGAACACCAAAAAGTAAGGAAACAAGGTAGGAATGGTCTAGGTAACATTACAACACTTGGTGGTTGGTTTTTGATATGGTGCAACCTCAAAGTGCCCATCGTTCCGTCCATTCCTAATTCGTGTGTATTTTGTAATTTGATAATTGTTCAAACTAAATGAAAGGTGTATATAGCTAAAGTTCTCTGTTGTAAACTTTGTTTCAGAAACCAAGGGCAATTACACGTATGTAATCAAATTACGTGACCCTAACGAAATGCATGACATCATGAAGGTGTGTTTGATGTCGGAAGCGAGATAGAAAGCCCCCAAAATCATACTTTGCTTATGGGAGACATTATAGCTACCAGACTGGTAAGGAATAGACCAATAGAATAGTATCAAAACCGCTGATTCTTTTGACATTTTAAAACTTGTTGAGTATTTAGAAAGGATTAGCTAACGATAAAACTCAATTCAAGTCTATAACTGGATCAAATTTCAAAGTAAAACACGAAGTCTCTCTCTTTCTCTGATCACAGGCAATCTTTAACTGAACCTGGCGATATCTAGGCTAGTCAGTGTATGTCTTGTATCCCATAGTGACCACTACAATTGACTTTAGACAATCCACATTGTCCATCATCATTATAACTCATCCTTGCTACTTTATACTTTTGCATGTAGAATGTAACGAAATGAGGTCAATTTGATTCAGTAACCAAGGTATTTCTTAGCCATCGACTGGTCCCGAGAACAGTTTGAAAATGTGAACATAGTTCTTTACAATGGCTAGTGAGAACCCTTGCTTTAGGAGAGTGCTTCTCTTAGTACCAGTCACTCTCTCAAAAAATGTATTCACCTCTACTGCAGCTTTCTCTTCTCCAACAGAATATCTAACTGGTCTAAGGAAATACAATTTTGTAATCCCAATTTACAGGCTGAAGAAGAATTCATGGTTTGTGGTCTGTTAGTGCAAAATAGAACACCACTTTGGGGTCTTAGGTATACTATAATAGTAAGGATCAAATGAGGTAAGGTTTGCCTAAGAGTTGGCAGTGTGTGTGATAAGATTAGTTACTTTCCCCTAGTTTATTGGTCCAAAAGTTGAGAAGACTATGCACATATAGCGTCATATGAAATTGTTACGTCTCTGGTCGTTTGTTAATTTCCCGTAAAAATTCTTCCCGAGGAACTTCAGTGATACAAGTCCTTTCTTCAATAAAACTAGTTTATTCTTTCTCAATACAACTTTGCAATACACAGAATTGCCACAGTCACTTTAACTTAAATACACGCTATAATTCACAACGATTCACGCACTTTACTTATGGCCACTACCGCTCACTTGACTCAATTATCTGTCTCTATATCTGTCTATCTGCAATTATTCTATCTATGCAATTATTTGCCGGGCTTATGTACTAAAATAGAGTGCGCCTAGAAAAGACTAGAGTTGCCAGGAAAAGTCAAGATCCTTCGAGAAAATCATGACGTGTTATTAGAGTCACGTGACTTCCGCTGTCGTAACAAAGTTTTGCATGAACTGTGAAATAAACACGACAACATTCAAAACAAACTGCTTGATTATGACACCAAAACTGTTACTTAATAAATTAGTCTATGGTGTTCGACATTGCACTTAATCAACAGGCAAGTATTAATTATTACAATAAAAGAGGTTAAAAGAAAACGCTAGCAAAATGATAAAATAAATACAAACAACAAAAGAATTGAAGATGAGGGGAAAGTCTTTTGTTAGACCAGGTTTATTGTAGTTTCCTATAATCCGAGATCACCTACATCACTGATAACTTTCATTATACATTCAAGAGGAAATTAACTCCCAACTCATACCAATATGCACAAATATCTGCACCATACCTCTACTCGGGTGGCGGGGAAACAGAAGCGTAACCAGTCGAGTAAAAGCTCTTCTGAATGACCATTGTGTACGTAATGTTGGCCCGAGACTACTTTCAAAAAAAAATATCTGAACACACCTATGGAAGGTTAAAATATTGTAGTTTTCATTTGCCACACAGTCTCCACTTCTTTTTTAAAGGGTGCCCGGCATGGCCAGGTGGATAAGGCGCTCGACTCACAATCTGAGGGTCGCGGGTTCGAATCCGCATT